AAGTAGAGCAGGAAAATGAGGAGAGGCGGCTCAGCACTTACATGGCAGCTCCCAACAGTCTATAACTTCAGTTGCAAAGGATCCAACACTGTCTTCAGGTCTTTTTCAGCACTGCACACATGAGGTGCACAAACATAAATGTAGGCAAAATACCCGTACACATAAACAAACTCATAATGAGATACCATTTTCTCCTGTAAGAATGAATATGATTTCTTTTTAACACAAGTCAGCCATTCGACTTCTGAAAGTCAGGACGAATAACTGTACGTTGCTGTCTATTACAACAGCCAGAAGGCAGAAACGGTTGTCCTTCCTGGTGTGGCTGTCTCTGCTAAACATGCTGGATGTCCCTAATGACTCCCACACCTACCTCAGTCCCCTGATAAACAGCCATCCCTCGGCCACAGACAATGACATTCTTTTACATGCTCTAACAAGTGTGCGCTTCCAAGTCATTATACTATGCAACACGAGCCAGTGACACAAGCAGAAGCTCACAGCTTATTCCACTTGAACAACGATGTAAGAATAGCCCAGCTTCAGGAGGGGGACAGGTGGCTCAGTGGTTAAGACCACGTATTACTCTTCCAGAACACTCAAGTTCCATTCCCAGAACCCACACTGGTTGGCTCACAACCTTCCCTATAGTTCAAGCTACAGGGGTCCAGTGCCTCTGTTCTCCACTGGTCCCTGCAGTCACGTGCACCCCCCATAACTAAAATAATAATAAAAACTTAAAAAGAAGATTGAGTTAATTATTACCAGGAAACATTTAACTCAGGCTAATAGAACATGAAAATAGCATAGATGTTACTAGAGTCTGTGGGAGACAGGGGATGGGGTTTTTGTATAATGGACTATGAGCCTCTGTCTAAGGTGAGGACGAGGTTGGAAAACAGTGCCGATGGCTGCATGGTATTAGAAAGTAACCAACGTTGCTGAAACAACCTGAAATCATTCAGATGGAAAGTTTAGGTTACACGAATTTGGCTACAGTTTGAATACAATCTACCCTGCAGGGCTTTCTGACACCATGGCCAGGGAGACAAGAAGGCAGTTTGGTTCAACAGGACTCGGTAGCAGTGCCTGTTTAGACTTCAAGCACCTGACCTCGAGTAGTTTATCTTAGGCACATTCAGTCATAGCACAGTTTGGTAAAATGTTTCCTGGTAATAATTAACTCAATCCCATGTATACAAGCTTAAGACAGGACTACACCCAAACTCTTGGTAAAGCAGAAGGCACATCTTCCATAAAGTTAAATTCTATAGATGACAGAGAAAACAAGTTTAGAGTAAGGGTCTGGGGAGGAGCCGGTGTGGTTTCAGTCACACAGACAGTGCAAAGGTCACCAGACTATTAGAGTATGTCTGCTCCCAGCTTTCTGGGTTTTTTGTTTTGTGTTTTAATTACTTAATTTTTTTTCTTCAGCTTTTCAAGATAGCGCTTCTCTCTAGCTTTGGAGCCTGTCCTGGAAGTAGCTCTATAAGACCAGGCTGGCCTCAAACTCAAGAGATCTGCCTGCCTCTACCTCCCCAGTGCTGGGATTAAAGGCCTGTGCCACCACTACCACCCAGCCCCTTCCCAGGTTTCTGAGTGAAAAACAGCTTATACATCCCTCTTCCCTTTGAAGAGACAACCCTGTGTGTTTAATATTCCTGGTTCCTGTACTTATCTATGAGTACAGGAACCCCATGCCTACTACACTACCCAAGTAATTTTTAGTACAATTGAAAATTTTATTTTTCTTTTTTTATTTGTGTGTGTGTGTGTGTATCCATGTGCCCTTGCCCTCCAGTACCAGAACAGGGCATCAGATCCCCTAGTTACAAGCAATTGTGAACTGCCCAATTGGGTGCTGGAGCCATCCAAACTCAGGTCTTCTAGAGGAACAGAAACTATTCTTAACTCCTGAGCCATCTCTGCAGCCCTAGATTCATACAAATCTTTTTTTTTTCGTTTTGATTTTTTGATACAGGATTTCTCTGCAAAGCCCTGGCTATTCTGAAACTCACTGTAGACCAGGCTGGCCTCAAACTCACAGAGATCCTCCTGCCTCTGCCTCCCGAGAGCTGGGATTAAAGGCATATGCTAACACTGTCCAACTGGAGTCATACAGTTTAAAGGAGGGAATTCTTATACTATATGAATTTATCTCAATGAAACTCTTTAAATATAGTCAAAGATTGGCAAAATTAATTATCAGTTAAATGCCTCTAAAGAGTTAACTTTACTAGCCATTCATTCTCAGAAAATAAATCTTTGTGGGGGTGGGAGTGGGGAGAGAGCTCAGAGGATAAAAGCTCTGGTTGCTCTTACAGAGGATGGGCATTCAGTTCCCAGCACCCACATGATGACTCAGACCGTCTGTAATTCCAGTTCCAGGGATCTGATGCCCTCTTCTGGCCTCTGCAGAAACTACATGTGGTGCACATATACAGGCAAAACACTCACATTTATAAAATTTAAAAGCCTTAAGAAAAAGTTTGCATCCTTTAAATATTTGTTTATGGATGCTACAGAAATGATTTGAAGTGTTCTTTTTGGGGGCTGGAGGGATGGCTCAGTACGAGCACTGGCTACTCTTAGAGCTAGGGTCTAGTTCTCAGCTCCTACAGCGGCTCACAACCATCTGTAACTCCAGCTGCAGGGGCCCAGTGTCCGCTTCTGGCTTCTGCAAGCACTAGCTATGCACATGAGGTACAGATATACATGAAGGCAATAATAAAGTAAAATAATAAACAATAAAGGTGATATGTTTGGGTGTCAAATTAACAAAAGGTGGTGGTCTTGGGTTGCTTAACTTTGATGACCGAATTGATTAGATTAAGAAATTCCAAGGCACTGTAGAGAGATGGTTCAGTGGTCAAAAGCACTTGTTGTAGCAGAGGTTCCCATTTTGATTCTCAGAACCCTATGTTGGGCAGCTCACAACATCTGACACTCCAGTTCCAGGGGATTCAACACCATCTACTGGCCTCTGCATGAACCTGCAAACCTGTGATATACATTTACACAGGCGCACACACACACACACACTCCTAAGTAAAAATAAAAATTATTAAAAACGCAGCTCATAGGCATTTCTAAGACATATTTCTGGGTGTGTCTATGAAGATGCTTCCAGAATTGGCTAAATGACAAGAGGAATACCCACCCTAACTTTGGGCAGCAGCATCCCATGAGCTGGAGACTCAGAACAAAAGGGAAACGGAGGAAGCTACCTGAGCCCCATCATTCCACCTGCTTTCTAGCGGGCCACGAGCTAACTCCCTGCTCTGAGCTCCTTGCCATGCTGGACTGAACCCTCCAGCTCCCTGAGCTGAAATAAACAAAGGTTGTCTGTGTCAGGTATTTTTATCTCAGTGACAAAAAGAAATGAATGCAGGTCTGGAGACGTGGCTCAGTCAGGAAAGACACTTGCTCTATGGGCATGACAACTGGTGTTCAAACACCCACCACCCATTCACAAAGCATGCATGGTTGCATGGGCCTGCAACTGCAGCACTGCAGACACAGGTGGACCCTGAGTGTTCATTGTCTGCCTGGGCAAAACAGCAGGGTTCTTGTTAAGGGAGGCACCATCTAAAGGCAGTAAGGCACATAGTGATCGTGGTGGTTTAAAAGAGAATATCTCCCAAAGTCTTGTGTATTTGAAAACTTGGTTTCAGTCCACGGTACTGTTTGGGGAGGCTTAGGAGGTGTGGCATTGCTGGTGGAAGGAAGTCACGAGGGGCAGGCTCTGAGAGTTTAACGATTTCAGCCCCCTTTAGTTTGCACTCTCTTCCTTAATTTTCTCTCTCTCTCTTTTTTTTTTTGTTTTTTGTTTTTTTGTTTTTTGAGGCAGGATTTCTTTGTGTAGTCCTGGCTGTCCTAGAACTCAGGTTTGTAGACCAGGCTGGCTTTGAACTCCCGGAGATCCACCTGCCTCTGCCTCTGGAGTGCTGGGATTAAAGGTGTACATCACCACACCTCGCTCTCTTTACTAAAAAATATTGTGTATGGACTGGAGAGATAGCTCAGCAGTTAAGAGCACTGGCTGACCTTACAGAGGGCCTAGTTCAGTTCCCAGCACCCACATGATGGTTCACAATTGTCTACAGCTCTGGGTCCAGGGGATCCAACACCCACTTCTGCCCTCCAGGTAGGTAGAGCTACATAGACATAAATGCAGACAAAGCACCCATCCACATTCTTAAAAAAAATTGTGTGCATGTGTGTGCAAATACGTGTGGGAGCATGTATGTGTGTGTGTTGGGGAGCCCTGATGGTCAGTTGTCTTCCTTGATTGTCTATTTTATTCTTTGTGGGCAGTCTCGGAAGCCAGTTTTCCTGTCACCATCCCCGCCCTTCTTGTCAACTCTTAGGTGAGTTCTGCGAATCCAAACTCCAGTGCTCACGCTCGCGTATATATCGATCACATACAAACAAGCGCGTTATCCCCTGAAATATCAACTGCGAATTCACTTTAGCAGAGGATGACCTTGAACGTCTGATCTTCCTGTCTCTACCTCTCAAAAGCTCGGCCAAAGCATGCATCCCCCCCACCCCCATATCCAACAACAAGTGCTGCTGGATCAGAAACGCAGGCACGCTAGGCAAGCGCTCTACCAACTGAACTACACCCTCAGCTCCTGTTTTTCCTTTTCTATTATTTTGAAATTGTGAAATTACAGAAATTCTACAGTTTATAAACTCCCAAAGGCAAGGAAACACCGAGCTGTACTCCAAGCGGTACTTACTGAGCCACACGGTCATTTCCATAAGGACTCAGTATTGAACAAGACCACACCCGGGGCCTGGATCCAGTTCACCAAACATCTGGGCCGCGGTAATGGCGGGGAGCGAGAGAGACTGACAAGAGTATCGGGTAGCTGAGGCACTGAGGCCGAGGGATTCGCAGCCAGGAGCTCACGGGCTGCCCTGGCGCTCGGCGCAGGGGTTTGCCTGGCCTTAAAGAAGTCCCGCGTCACGTGATCCCGGGGCGGAACCAGCGCAGTCCGGCTCCTGCGGAACGTGCACGCTCTCGGTTTTGCTTCCCGCCGGAGGCTTTTGCGGAACTCCCCGGGTCCCCGGAGGGGGAGGGGGGCCAGTGGCGGCAGCTGGGGCTGCAGAAGCAGCCCGGGGGTCCGGAAGTCAACATCATGTCGAGTCTGCACAAGAGCCGGTAAGGAGACCCGAGGGCAGGACTGTGTCTAGACCGCTCCGGCCGGGCCGCGCCTTCTCCCCGACCGAGCTGCTCAGCGCATGTGCGGCCAAGAATAGCCCCCACCCCCGGCGGAGGGTCCTCAGTGCCCACTTCTCAGCATCATTGCCTGTGTGGCAGTGAGGAGAAGCAGAGATGCTTCTCTAACGTTGGTGTCACCTTTTTTTTTCTCTCTCACTCTGGACCCCATTCCCTAGTGTCTTCCTCGTCCAGACCTATATTACCCTCCCCACTTCCTGGCTCCAGGATCCTCTTCCCCAAATACGCCTGTCCCTGTGCTCCTTGCTTATAGGAAACACTAGAGAGAACCCGGGGCTCCTTAGTCTAGCCTCTTAATCGTGTCCCCCGCACACACACACACCGCAAGGCTACATCTTGCAGCGTCGGCTAAATTTTGTTCACTCCAGGACTACTTTTTAGTCTTTTGTCCTTGCCTGAGGACAGGCCCAAGAAGTCTGTGCCCCCTCCCCCTTCCCCAGCCAAGAGAGCTGTGGGAATGGTGGAGAAACTGTTCAGGGCCCCTGTCTGTAGATCAAATTACTCCTGGTTGCGAAGCTTGGTTGTGTGAATTCAGGTAGTGGTGTGGTGTGCACTGGGCTTGGCCACAGCAAGTGCCTAGGAAATGCCAGCTCACCAAGTAGAAAGTGCTTAATATTAAGGTTTCATAGGCTTTTGACTAGAACACCTTTTGCTCTTTGTTGACTTTGCAAATGTTAGAGGATTGTCCACATCCCTAAGCTTGGGGTTGGAGACTGTTGGGGTAAGGGATCTGTGGGCTGCCTGTTTGTTACCTTGGGGTTTCCTTTTCTGCCCTTGAAGGATTGCCGATTTCCAGGATGTCCTGAAGGAGCCTTCCATTGTGCTGGAGAAGCTTCGAGAACTCAGCTTTAGTGGTAAGGCACAATTTTCCTCGGGGTTTCCTTGGAATAGCGTTATGGCCAAGATGAAGGGGAGCGCATCAAGACGATACCCAGAGAGAGAGACTGATTTCATAGAGCTGCCTGGATGTCGTAGGAGTGGTAACCACCCTTTGGCCATGGATACGACGCATCTGATTCCCCAGATTCCCTGATGTAGCCTGCAGATTGAAATAGGGGTGACCTTTTGAGCCTAGGCGAAGCGTTTGCCATTTCTCAACTAGTTTCCTGAGTTTCAGAAGTTGCAGGGTGGTTCCTGATTCCTCTACCTGGCTTTGAAGCAGAGCTGAGAGTGACCTTTGGTTAATGCTAAAACTCAAGCCTTAGAACACCAACTCTAAGAAGCTAAACATCAGCCCCGTTTGACTTTGCCCTTCCTCACATGGTCAATGTTCCAGCACAGAGATAACTGGGTTTTTACCCTGTCTGTAAAAACACCCCAAGGTGTTTGTTTAGCTCTTTGTGGAACAGCTTTGCCGATAACTTTGCCAGGAAGGAGTTGAAGTTGCCCGGGTCACGTGGATTCTGAGGTCACGGTGCCAGAGAAACCCTCATCAGAACTGTTCCTGGGAGACTTGGGGAAGCACTGCAGAAGTTGCCTTTTCTTTTCTGGAGCAGTCTGTGGTGCTTATGCCAAGCTGGGGCTGCTCAGTACACCTTGGCCGTTCTGTCTACAGATGAGTTTCTCTATCTGTGAGCGAGGCTGCGGGAGCTAATCTTCCTACTGACTGGAATTAAAGTGGGAATTAAGTGAAGTCATGGCTCTCTGGCACAGGGCTCGTAACCTTACAGCTTGGTTTGCATTTCACAAATGTGGATGCCGTTTGTGACCCATGTCCTGCTCTAGGCCTAGGTGTGTCAACAGACAAACGTGCTTCCTGTCTATCTGCACCCCTCCGTTCATAGACACTACACACATTGCATTCATACTCAAGGTTTCATATGTTTCCAGTTGTGATGGATGTCATAGAGAGCCGTAGAGCCATTGTTCATAAGCAGAGACACCGATGCCCAGCATAGTGGTTCACAATTTTAATGTCAGAACAGGAGGCAGAGGCAGGTGGATCTCTGTGAGTTTGAGGCCAGCCTGGTCTACAGAGTTCCAGGACAGGCTCCAAAGTTACACAGAGAAACCTTGTCTTGAAAAACAAAACAAAGCAAAAAAACCCTAAAAAAAAAAAAAAAAACAAAAAACAGCCTTCTACATAGTGAGTTCCCACACAGCCAGAGCTATGTAGTGAGACCCTGTCTGAGACTGGGCATATTGTTTGGTTCATAGAGTATCTGCCTAGCATGAATAGAGCCTTGCTTTTGAATCTTAGCACCAATAAACTAGACATAGTGGCCAAACACACCTGTAATTCTGCTACTCAGAAGCTCCTCCATGCCACCATAGTAAATTGGAGGCCAGCCTGGGCTACATGAAACTCTGCTCCCTCTCCCTGAGTAAGAGCTGGGCTTTGACTAAGAGTTGGTGGTTGATGATGACCTCCTTGAAGAAGAAAAATCAAAGATGAGAAGGTTCAAAGAACATTCAAGCAGATGAGGTTCTGGGCTGGCGGACAGAACTGTAGACAGAAATTAGTTAGCATCCTGCTTAGACATTTCTTTGGTGAAGAGTGGTCCCCAAAGTGCTTCCTGCTCACTCCACTTCCTGCCAACTGGCTCAAGGTGTGGGGCTGGGGGGATTCTGGAACTCTGGCTTGGGGTGACCTTTGCCTGCTGTGTCCACAGGCATTCCCTGTGAGGGCGGACTGCGGTGCCTCTGCTGGAAGGTGGGTGTGCCTGGGGTGGGGCCTCTTGGTTTTGGGATCTCCTGGGTCTTGCATGGTCCTCCCCCGCCCCTCTTCTCTGCTCCTTTCCTTGCTTGTCTGAGGAAGGGTTTCTGGAAGTTGAGGGGGGTTGTGTTCTCTTGGCACCCTCTCCAGGCTTCATTTGGGGATGGACCAATTCATAATGCCAGTGAAGATTTCCCCTTCCTGGTGCATATGTGCATTGGAAGGGATGCTGATTGGGGGCTAGTTTCCCTGAAGCCACTGCCTGAGATGGTGGCAGCCTCTGTTCCTGGTTACCAGCCCTTCAATGCCACCACTTTCTCTGCTCATTTAGAAGAGTCTGCGTGGAAAACAGAGGGAGGGGCCAGCTAGGGCTAGGAGGAGGGGAGCCACTCTTCAGACCCGAGCTCCTGGGTCACAGCCACCTTGCCTGTTGAGGGTTTCATGAAGCCTTTCTTCTGAGGCCTGCATGCCTCCACTGCTGTCCGGGATGGGCAGAGGGATGTCACCAGAGCTGTGCTGTTCTCTGTGCAGATCCTCCTGAACTACCTCCCTTTGGAGAGAGCCTCATGGACTTCCATCCTGGCCAAGCAGAGGTGAGACCTGTGCACTCCCACAACCTGTCTGCTTCCTGGGGGTGTTTCTCTGGACTCATCATTCTCATCTCCGCTCTCCTCTCTGGCAGAGGGCTCTATTCTCAGTTCCTGAGGGAAATGATCATCCAGCCTGGCATCGCCAAGGCCAACATGGGTGTATCCAGGGAGGACGTGACTTTTGAAGATCATGTAAGTAAGGTTGGCTTCAGGGACTGAGGGTGCACAGAGAGAGGGCAGAGGCTTGGGCCCAGGCGCCGACCCCTTGCTGAAGGACGGGTGGGCCTGGCCCGCATCCTGTCAGGTCTTCCCACTTCACTGGGTTGCCCACTCCTTGGACACAGCAGTGTCTCCCCGCTTATTCTAGGCACACGGTAACCACAGCAGCCCTACGCCTAGTTGGGAACATAAGTGATGGCCATTGTCCTGAGGGTGCTGTGGGAGTCACCCTGCTCCAGGAGCTCTTAGGTCATGGTGTCTGGAACCCTCACCCCAGTGCTTCTTCTTCTTATTATTATTATTTTAATAAAAGATTAATCTGGGCGCTAGTGGCACACATCTTTAATCCCAGCAGAGTTAGGCAAATCTCTTGAGTTTGAGGCCAGCCTGGTCTACAAAGTAAGTTCCAGAACAGCCAGGACTACACAGAGAAACCTTGTCTTGAAAAAAAAGACAGTCTTGTGTATTTCAGGCTGGCCTAGAATTCAGTTTATAGCCAAGAGTGACCCTGAAGTTAACATTTTTAAAATTCATTGTTAGTATGTCTTATTGGTATGTGTATGGATGCCAGCGAGGGCTGTGTCATGGCACAGACAGGGGGACAAGGATGGTTTAGAGTCAGTTTCTGCTGTTCCCATGTATTTTGGGGACTGAACTTCGGTCTTCACGCTTGTGCAGCAAGCACCTGTACACACTAAGCCAGTTTGCAGACCCGGAGTAGATTTTTTGGTGTATTTATTTATTTAAAATATTTTATTTATTTATTTATTATGCATACAATATTCTGTCTGTATGTATGTCTGCAGGCCAAAAGAGGGCACCAGACCTCATTACAGATGGTTGTGAGCCACCATGTGGTTGCTGGGAATTGAACTCAGGACCTTTGGAAGAGCAGGCAATGCTCTTAACCACTGAGCCATCTCTCCAGCCCCTATTTATTTATTTTTTGAGGCAGAATCTTGCTATGTAGCTGAAGCTTGCCTCATACTTGGACTCCTGCTTCAGCTCTCCTAAGATCTGGGATTTATCCCTGGCTAAATGTTCATTTGTTTGCCTTCTTACGGGCTTGGAGGTTGAACAGAGGGTCTCAACTGTGGTAAGCAATTACTCTGCCACTGAACTACACGCCTCTCCTCACCCTGGGTCCTTGAAGAAGGTAGCAGGATTGTATAGTTGAGGAAAGCTGGGCAGGAGTTAGGTTGAAATAAGTGTCTGTCTGAGACCTGGAGAAAAATCCCATTTTTATCTCCTATCCTGAGCTTCTTGTATACTTGACAGGGCAGGAAGTGTAGCCGGGCTGGCCTCAGACCCATCCTCCCAGACAGGAGTTGACTGCTCAAGGAAAGCCCTGGTAGATAATGAAATGACTTTCTTTGTCTGCCCTTTCCACGGCGCTCAGAGACTGCTGTGCGCACACTCTGTCTGGGGCACTGCCGAGAACACTGTCACCATCAGGATGTGCTCAGAGCAGGCTGTAGGGGTGTGGAGTGCCTCTGCAGAGCTGGGGAAGCTTGGGGAAGCCTGCGCTTGCTGGGTGGACTGAGCCTGTCTCTAGGCCAGAGCTAGGTCTCTGGGCATTGGGTGTGAGGCCGCTGAGCTACAGCCCTGGCTGGTCCCTACACATAGCATCTGCTTCTCTCTTCACAGCCCCTCAACCCGAACCCTGATAGCAGGTGGAACACGTATTTTAAGGACAACGAGGTGCTACTGCAGATTGACAAAGATGTCCGGTAAGAGGCCCAAAGGGGCTTTTTGCTACTCACAGGGGCCCTCACCAGGGTTTATACCTACAGTCGCGTACCAGAGGGCACTGGAGTCTGGCTGGCTGGCTGGCTTCAGTGACAGCTTCACCACTTGGCTGTTTGACCATGGGCAGGGAACTCAGGCTCTCTGAACACGACTTCTGTGGAAGTAGAAGTGAGATGGCTCAGGCTGAGGGCCTGTGCAGCATGGGTCTTCACATAGAATCCGGATCCTTGTGCTGGCTTCAGCCTACTACAGAGGCCTTTGAAATGATCAGTTGCCTTTGGAGAAGGACCCTGGGAGCTGAACCCCCTCACTTGGAGCAGCCTGGCTGTGTCCTCTCTGGCACCCACTCCTCGTTTAGACAGGAAACTTATGCAGAGCTACTCAGTGGCATTCCCAAGGAATCCTGGGGCCAGTTCTGCCGGCAATAGCACAGGCCAGTTGCACCCATGTGAGGAGGGCTGGAGGTTTCCCTGAGGAGACAGACACAGATGCTCAACCTGTCAAAATGTATGCGATTGCAGAAGTTGTGAGCGCTGTGAGGGAGGAGAAGCTGGTGCTGAGGGAAGAGGGGCCCTAGGGGAGGTGACTCAGCATGAGCTGCCAGGCGAGGGGAGGATGGGAGGCATGGGGCTGTGTGGGAGATCTTCCTAGCCTCAGGAACCAGTGCAGGAATGCCCTGAGGCTTGAGCTAAAGTCTGTTGAAAGATCCTCTTCCTCCCCAAGTGCTGTAGCTCTGCCCAGACCCCTCTCCAGACATCCTCTGGATGCCTGAATGGGGTGGTACACCAGGCCCTTGGTGCCTTTCTTCTCAGACTGGCATTGGAACAGCACTACCCATGAGATGCTGTCCTGACCAGGTTTAGGTCAAGAGTGTCATCCTGTAGTAGTTTTGGGGAGGGATTAGGGGCTCAGGCTCCCTCTCCCACTGGTGCTGGCAGTAGGGTGTCAGTGTTTGCCGAGGGCCAGTACACAGTGTGCTGTGTCTAGGCGGTCTGAGATGTATACATGATTGTGATGCCCTGTCGTGCTCCAGATGCCCTTGCACACCGTTCCTTGCACATCCCTTCATGTCAGCAAAGGGTAAATTACCATGATTAACCCTTGTGCACATCCATGCATCTGCAGACAGATGCATGTAAATATATATAATGTTCTGTTAGGGAGTGAGCTCAGGACTTGACTCCTTGTGAATATCAGACGTACTTATATACATGTATACATAATGCTTACTAGGCAAATACTCATCACTAAGCTAGATTCTTGCTCCTAGACAAGTAGACAAGTGCTTTTGTCATGGAAACATGTTTGTGGTTTACGAGAATTAGTGTTTTTGTTTTTTGTTTTGCTTTTGGTTTTTCGAGACAGGTTTTCTTCTGAAACCATTCTGGCTATCCTGGATTTCACTCTGTAGAACAGGCTGGCCTTGAACACACAGAGATCCATCTGTCTTTGCCGAGTGTGACTGTGAAGACACTTAAAAAATGCACATGTGATCTGGGTGGTGGTGGCGCAGCAATTGGGAGGCAGAGGCAGGGGCAGGTGAATCTCTGAGTCTACAAGAGCTAGTTACAGGACAGGCTCAAAGCTACAGAGAAACCCTGTTTTGAAAAACAATAAAATAAAATAAAAAATATGTACATGTACCTCTTCATAAACACTTATGAAATGAGCATGTATTTGTAATTTCTACTGCTTTTATAAAAACTGTATTTTGGGGGTTAACTATTTTAGGTTTTGATACAAAGTTTTGCACTAGTCAAGGCTGCTCAGGTGTTCACTTTGTAGCTGAAGCTGCCTTGAACTCCAAGTAGTTGATGACAGGTTGAGCCACCATCCCAGCTGAAATGTTACAATTACAAACAAGCAAACAGTTGAAGAGTAGCTCAGGTGTAGGGCACCTGTCTAGCGTGACCTTGGTTAGACCCCAGCACTGTAAGATAAATAAAATCAACCACTTGTGAGGATACCCAGGGCTGCCACCCTGAGTGACAGCATTCTTTCCATTCCAACAGGAGGCTGTGCCCAGATATATCCTTCTTCCAGAGAGCCACCGAATACCCCTGCCTCCTCATCCTGGACCCGCAGAATGAGTTCGAGACCCTTCGGAAACGGGTGGAGCAGACAACACTGAAATCTCAGACAGTGGCCCGGAACCGGAGCGGGGTCACAAATGTAAGAGCTAGCCTGGGATCTTTTTCTTTTTAAGATTTGATTATTTATTTGAGTGTTTGCCTGCCTGTGTGTATGTGTTCCTAGACCTAGAGCTGCACTGAAAACTCGATTTGCCATTTGTATCATGGGAAAAAAATGAGGGTCCCTATGGCTAGGAGCAGCGAGACAGCAGAGGGGAGGGGCCGGAGGGTGCTGTAAGAGCTGGTGCGGGGAGGTCTGACAGGGCCCTTGTACAGACTGCTGGTGGGCTCTTGGAGGATTCTAAGCAGGGAAACTTTTGGTTCAGGTGTCCTTGGGCATAGAAGGGCTATCAAAGCAGATGGCTGCATTTGCCAAGGTCAGAATTTGCTGTGTGGTTAGATCTGGAACACACAGAAGAGGGTAAGATCTAAGGGTTTTCAAGCTCCAGAAAAAAATAGCAGACCTCGCCACTGTGGCAGCTGCTATGCCCCCCAAAAGGTGTATGACCTTATATCTCCATTTAGGCCCACTGCTTTGGAAGCTGTAGTGGTGACTTGTTCCCACTTGTCATGGCCTTTCACCAGCAGGGGAGCCCTCCTCTGCAGCCTCCCCAGCAGGAGAGCCCTCCTCTGCAGCCTCCCCAGCAGGAGAGCCCTCCTCTGCAGCCTCCCCAGCAGGAGAGCCCTCCTCTGCAACCTCCCCAGCAGGGGAACCCTCCTCTGTAGCCTCCCCAACAGGGGAACCCTCCTCTGCAGCCTCCCCAGCAGGAAAGTCCTCCTCTGCAGCCTCCCCAGCAGGAGAGCCCTCCTCTGCAGCCTCCCCAGCAGGGGAACTCTCCTCTGCAGCCTCCCCAGCAGGGAGTGGAGGATCACACAACTCTTCTCCCTGAGTTGTTGATGGGCAGTCAAGCAGATGCATTCACTCCTGGTCCCATGTACCTGCCATGAGGGTAGGGTCCACCAAAGTTGTGCATAGCCCAGGCGTGGTGAGGGAACCGTGGCTTGGTTTTTGTGCACCCCTCTTGGCATGGAGTCTAGTAGCCTTGATGAAGGCCCACAGTACTAATCCTTTGACTGTAGTGTTGCATGGGAGGGTCAAGCTCTACCCGTTTTACCTTTGGATCTGGTCCTAACAGCCCAGGATCCAACTGAAGCTTCATCCCCAGGATTCTGGACCTGTGGTAGGGTGGCTCAGTCAAGTCAGTCTCTGTCTTCTGTGTGAGTCTGGGCAAGGGATACCGAGATGCTGTTTCTGGGCTTTTCCTCCTCCGTATCTGGGCATGATCACTCCTGCCCTGCCTGGCTGTGGAACAACCAGAAGGAAATGAGGTCATGGAAGGCAGGTTCTTGGAAAGCTAGAGGCACTGGGTTATCATGAGAGAAAGCCTGCTGCAGCCACTTGGCGCACAGCCTCTGGACTAGTCAGTCCAGGTTCAAGTCTATGTGAGTCTATTTCCTCATCTTGAACTGTTCAAAGGTGGTGCTGTGGCTCAAAGCCTGTAATCTGAGGCAGGAGGATCAACTCAGGGCCATCCTCAGCTATCTGGTGAGGACCAGCTCAGGGCCATCCTGAGCTGTATGATATATTTGAAGTTCAGTCTGAATACATGAAGCTCTGTTATGAAAGAAAATGGCTTTGAGAGCAGATTGGAGGAGTATGGTCTGCTCCTGGGGTGCATGTGTTTCTGTCATGCACATGTATGAAAAGTATGTGGAAATACCCTGGGCTGCCTGGACTCCTAAGAATAGAAAGTCTTGTGTAGTCCATTGGGGTCTCTTCTGATAGTCCCCCAGCTCTGCAGCCACTGCTGGAGCAGGCTGAGGACAGAGCCCAGGCACCCAAATCCCCTAAATTTCTTGAGGTTCTGCAGAGCAGCTGATATTGTAGACACCTTTTCTTGTTTTGAACTGGTTTTATGTAGTCCAGGTCGGCCTAGAACTCTATATGTAGCTGAGACTGGTATTGAACTCCTGATCCTCCTGATTCTACCTCTAAGTGCTGGGATTTACAGCCTACATCATCACCCACAGCCAAGTCTTTATTTCCAGTTGAAGTACGTGTACTTAGAAATGTACACATTTTTATGCATGTAGCTAGATCTGTTCTTCCTGTGAGTACACCTGTGAGGCTGCCCGTCACAGTCAGGTCCTTACCACAGAATCTACCTCTCTTTTGTTGTTGGGTTTCATTGGTTTTGATTTTTTTGTTTGTTTTGGTTTTGTTTTGTTGTTGTTGTTTATTTTTCAAGACAGGGTTTCTCTGTAGCTTTAGAGCCTCTCCTGGAACTCGCTCTGTAGATCAGGCTGGTCTTGAACTCACAGAGATCTGCCTGTCTCTGCCTCCCAAGTGCTGGGATTAAACGCATGCACCACCACCACCTGGCTTTTTTTTTTTTTTAAGACAGGGTCTCACTATGTATCCTTGGCTGGCCTCAACCTCACAGAGATCTGCCTGCCTCTGTCTCTCAAGTGCTAGGACTAAAGGAAGTGGGACCTCTTTTTTAACCTGGTTGTTACTCAGTGTCTTCCTACAGCATCCACCTCCTCTTCCTTGTGTGACATGTTCCTCCATATCATGTCTTGGTCATAAACTAGGATGTTAAGGCATGTTGGGCTTCATGGGAACATTTGACCTGCTAACAGGTTCTCCTCTTCTCCCCAGATGAGCTCCCCGCACAAGAACAACACACCACCAGCCCTGAATGAGTATGAGGTTCTGCCCAATGGCTGTGAAGCCCACTGGGAGGTGGTGGAGCGGATCCTGTTCATCTATGCCAAGCTCAACCCTGGCATCGCTTACGTGCAGGGCATGAATGAGATCGTGGGTCCCCTGTACTACACTTTTGCCACTGACCCGAACAGCGAGTGGAAAGGTAAACAGGCTCTTGGCTGCCCAAGCCTCCCATTGCTGGCTCCCTAGAGAAAGAGAATGGGGCTAGCCAGGCTGATGGGCCACGTGGGGCTCCGGATCCTCATCTATTTCAGACGTCTGTGGCCATGTCAGAGCAGGTGCTGTCTAGCTCTGCCTCGTAAAATACTGCTGTTCACTGATCTGTTGACCCTTGGAACTTTCTGTGGGATAGATGCTCATGACCAGCTGAGAGATGAGACCCATTAGCATAGGGCACGAAAGCTGCTGAGCAGGCTGTGTGTCTAGAAGATGAGGTAGAAG